GCCTAACAGGACCTCCTCCCAGAATCCTCTGCCTCTGTCATGCTTATATCTCTGAGTTTGGCACACTTTGGGATTCTGCTTATATCTTTGGGATTCTGGCTTCCTCTTAGAGGGTCCTAGAAAGCCCATTTTACGGATAAGAACACCAAGATTCAGTGCAGGTAGGCAGCTTGCAGAGGTCATGTGGATGCTGAAAATGAGATTTGGAATTTAGGTCTCTCTCAGGGCCCATACTATGATCTGCTTCCTTACTCCGCCTCTAATTGTGGCACGGGGGAGAGGGCCTCAAAAGGTGGCTGATCCCCGAGAGCCCACCTGGTAATCTGGATCCTGTTGTCAGGGCCTCTGGAATCTGGGACTTCTTGCAGCCTCTCTTTAGCTCCTAAATATCCCTCTAGGTTAGAGCTTTCCGATCAATGAGCTATTGAGATGGTTATCTCTGCAGCCCTTGAGAACAGAGCCCTGGCTAGTAACCTCAAGCCAGATGTAGTTCTATCTGTCTGTCCCAGTGCACTGAACAAATAGATACACTTCTCAATGTGTATTATGATGCCAAACAAGTTGAGAAACACCGACTGCCCTAACCAATCCCCTCCCTATCCCCCAGTGTACACACTGAACATACAAATTCCCCAGAAGCGTTGGGGGTGGGGGTTCTTTGTCTTCTCTGGACATCAGTCTCTTCATCTGAGAAGTGGGGACTGAGCTAGTGATGTCAAAGGCCATTCTGGCACTGTGAATCTGAGTGTGTGAGTCTTGGCACCTAGCACCGGAAGGGAGTGGGGACTGTCTGTGACCCAAGCAGCCGGCTAAGAAGCCAAAACAGTCAAGCAAGGGAGCCGTGGAAAGCAAGAGGTCAGAGGCTATGGCTCAGCCTCAACTTGATTCTTTGGCTGCATGGGGTCCAGGTGGGAATGCTGGAGGGCTCCAGGTGTCTGCTGGTTTCCACTCTGCACTCTCATGTCAGAGCAAGCCCCTTCTTCACCCAAAGGCCCTCCAGTCTCTTTGCTGGGGTTTCAAAGCAAAACCTCCTGATAAGGGCCACGTCTGTCAGCCTCATCAGCCAAACTGAAGGAATGTCCCAATTAGGATTGGTGGAGCTGCTCTTTTCCTTCCTGATAGGAAGCTGAGAGTCAGACCTCAGGGAACTGGGGTAGGGTGCGGGGGTCAGGCAGAAGGCAGAGGTCTGGAAGTGGGGGTGGAGCGGGCTCTGCCATTTACCTTGTTCATTCGGGCAGCAGGTGAGGATGAAGCAACTTTAAAGTCAGACCTGAATTTTAATCATGGCTCAGCCACTTGTGTGGCCTTAGGCAAGTCACTGAACCTCTGAGTCTCAGTCCTTCCATCTGTTAAATGGGGATAATAATCTCTCAGTAATCTCTTGTTTAATAATAATGGGGGGTGCTATGGAGGTTGCAGTGGGTAATGGCATAATACACGAGAGCTGCTGGCCTGCCTTGCTCTTGTCCCCCTGACCTCCTTTCCCCAAATGTCAGGTGTCAGTCCCAGCTCTGGGGTCAATCCCAGCCATCTCAGGATAGAGGGAGCCTGTCTCACTGGTTCATGGGATCATGTGACAGGGGCTCTTCCTTAATCTCTGAGACAAACAGGAAGGCGCTTTGGGCTCTGAAATCCTGTGATTCCTGGGAAGGTCTGACTTGGACGTGTTTCTTCCAGCCTTGGTGGTGGTAATGGCAGGATCTGCTCACTGTGTGGTGAGGAGCTGAGAGTGACCCCAAAGCTCCTCCCATGTCATTTCCCACTCCTCCAGCAATCCTGCGAGGTGGGGATCCCACCAGGACCTTAGCGTTAGAGTTGGGAATGTGGGGCTCAGAGGGGTTTAGTAACTCGCTTGCTGAAGCTCACACAGCTAGGAGGCGGCAGAGCTGTGATTGAAGCCTATGCTTTTGTTTGTTTGAGACAGAGTCTCACTCTTATTGCCCAGGCTGGAATGCAGTGGCGTGATCTCAGCTCACCGCAACCTCTGGCTCCTGGGTTCATGCAATTCTCCTGCCTCAGCCTCCTGAGTAGCTGGGATTACAGGCACACGTCACCATGCCAGCTAATTTTTTGTATTTTTAGTAGAGATGGGGTTTCACCATGTTGGCCAGGCTGGTCTCAAACTCCTGACCTCAGGTGATCCTCCCTCCTTGGCCTCCCAAAGTACTGGGATTACAGGTGTGAGCCACTGCTCCTGGCCCAAGCCGAGGTCTTAAAGGCCCTCAATCCGCTTCAAGCTCACTCTTCTCCTGTCGCTCAGAGTAGCAGCTATTTTTTCTTCTGGTGGGTGGGGGTTAATATCAACAATAAAAATAAGATTAGAGATTGAAAAGCAAGAGAGTGGGAGGTAAAAAAGCCAGGCCTGGTGTCAGCGGAGTTTCAGGAAACGTATCACCTGTCAAACATGAAAACAAACACAGCCCTCTGTGCCCAGCCTCTTCCTGTGGGCGATCAGGACAAAGTCCAGAGGACCAGAGAGCTGGTGGCCAAAGAACCAGCTTGCAGGAGGAGTGCCTGTGGATGGGCTGGCATCCAGGGCACAACAGCCAGGTCAGGACTTCTCTCTCCATTCTGCTCGACTGGGCAGACTGAGCTCCCATGGGATCGGATGCCCAACTCACCAAACTGGCTGGACCTCTGAGTTGCAGGCAGGAGGCACAGCCTGGAGGCTAGGGGCAGAGGCTCCTCCTTCCTTAGGCAGCCCAGCCTGGTCCTGCTTGTCCCCCAGCTCCTCACCCAGGAGCAGCAGTGGTCATCTGCTGGCACAGAGCCTCTCCAGGTTGGGAACATTGCTGGAGGCTGGATCAGGCCTCGGAGGGCAGCAGACTGTTGGTTAAGAAAGCAACAACTTTTCCAGATAATCAGCATCATCATAGTTGGTAAGATTATCTGACATTTACTGGGTGCCGGACACTTTATAGATATAAACTCTCTAAGCCTGACCACAACACATCATTAAGTTCATTTCACAGGTGGGAAAGCTGAGGCACAGTGGCAAGGTGTGGCGGAGGTGGCATCTTTAGGTAGGGAGAGTGGGAGGAGAGGGCCAGGCACCATCATGGATGCACCCTACTATGCGCTAGCCTGATGGTGATTCACCTTCATGCCCGTGATGGGTGGGCGGGGTTAGCATTCCCATCTGTGGATAAGGGAGCAGTTCTGCAGGGTTTCCTGAGGTCCTGTGGCAGACACCCGGCAGAGCCAGGGCTGGGAGCCAACGGCCGGCTGTGTGATTCCGAGCCCAGTGCTCCTTATCCCTCCCACGCAGGAGCCCCAATGAGCAGGGGCGGGGCCACAGGTAGAGAAAGGAGCTCTGGACTCTGGGAATCTTAAGTTCTCCACCTCATGCTTAGCCTGAGCTTGCTGTGCCATCTGCCACCTCTTGCTCTCTCTGGCTCCTCTGAAAAATACAGTGATCTCAAAGGTCTCATGCACAGTGATATTGCTCTGGGGTAACAGACTGGACTGGAAGGAGCCCTGAGGCAGTGAAGGTTGGAAGATGGTACAGGAAGCTCCATGTGACACTGTTTTTCAGATGCCAGAATGCCAGGCAGATTCTCCCTGGCCAGGCGCTGTGGCACCAGAAACCCCATGCCTGCCTGCACCCCAGAGGAGAAGAGGGGCTGGCCTGTGTGAGGGATGGAGCCATGGTAGTAGGTCTCAGCACACTGGAACCCCCCCGAAGAACTGAAGAAACCCTGATGCCCAGGCTGCACCCTGAGCAGCTCGTCAGGATCTCTGGCAGTGGGGGCCGGGCATCAACAACCTTTAGAATTCCTGGGGTGATTCCTGTGTGCAGCCAAGGCTGGGCACCACCACTCTAGGGCATTTAGGAGTTGGGGACAGAAAAAGCCTTGGCCCCTAGGTGGGCTTTCCAAGGCCTGTGACCTCCTGAAATTGGAACGAAGCATGTGCCTGCCCATCTGCGTGCATCTTTCTAGGGAGGGTTCACAGCTTTCGTCAGCTTTTCTGACCTAAAGGAGATTAAAATCCTTGTTTGAGCCCACACATTTGAGACAGGTCTGGACAATAAGGTGAGACCTCATCTCTACAAAATATTCAGGCATGCATGATGGCGTGCACCTGTGGTCCCAGCTCCATGGGAAACTGAGGCAGGAGGATCGCTTAAGCCCAGGAGGTTGAGGCTACAGTGAGCTGTGTTTACACCGTTGCACGCCATCCTGGGCGGCAGAGCAGAGTGAGATCCTGTCTCAAAAATATATATATTTTTTAAAATCCTACCTTAGGAGGAAGCAACCCATCTCCACCCCAATCCAGCGATATCATTGTAAGGATCAGAAACCTCCAGCTGCAGGGTCAGTGCTGGTCTACGAAACTTTCCTGTTCTCTCTAGACCTCTCTGTTCTCTCTTGCTTCCTAAAAATACACACCGAGAGCTGCTTATTCACAAGGCACTGTTCTAGGCTGTGGGACACAGGGTGAGTGGGACAGGGGCAGCCCCTCCCCTTGAGGAGCCCGTATTCTAGTGGCAGATGTAGACACACTAGTGAACAAATGGGCTAACTGCAGTGAGGGTGCCGTGTAACGATCTGGGCTGCTCCTTCGAGTCTCCTGGGGAGCCCAGCCCTACCCCTAGAGATCCCGATGACTTGGTGGGGGCGGGGGGCCTGGGCATGGCCTCTGTTGATTGTAACGAACAGCTGGAGTTAAGGCCTTCTGAATAGATTGGATGTTCAGGGAGGGCCTCCGGAAGGAGGGACGTCAGCCTTCTGAGCCAAGGCCTGCAGGGGAATATGGGAAAAGAGTAATCCTGGCAGAGAAACCCTTTTGCAAAGGCCCTCAGGTGGGTATAAGGGCCTGATACACCAGGACAACAGGAAAGAGGCCACGTGAGCTGTGGCAGGGAAGAGGATGGAGGAGTGGCAACCCAGGTGGGGCCCTGCTGGCCACACAGGGAGCCTGGATTTATAGTGAATATGTCTTCATCACCTTTGGAGAGTCACAGACAGGAGTGACAAGATCTGGGTCATGTTTTTCAGAGTCCTCCCTGCTGCCGTGTGGACGACGCGTGGGTGAGGGCAGAAGTGGGCCCTGTGACCAGCTGTGCTGGTTTCGTGGAAGGTGAGTCCTGGGCCGGGAGGAGAGGCGGATTGGAGGGGACACACATGGGCTGTGGGGCGAAGAAGGTGAAGACCCGAGCATGGCTCTCGGGTGTTCAGTCTGAGCCACCTGGTGAGTGGAGGGACCATTTATTCCCCGCCTCCGGCTCCTACAGCATTTAGAGTCCTGGAGTGCTGGTCTCCAGGGAGGCTTGGCAGCAGATCCTGGCATTCAGAGCTGGCCCAGAGTTGAGCGCTTCACCCACCCCCCACCCACCTTGCAGGCAAGGACAGAAGAGGCCTGAGACCAGCCCCTACAGACTCATGGACAGTGGATCTCAGACTGCCTTCAGGTGGCTGAGCACTTGAAAGTCCTGGTGTTCTTCATGGCAGTCCCTCCATCTGTCTGTCCATCCACCTGTCCATCTACCTACCCATCCACCCCTGCATCTAACCAGTTTTTCATTTGGCAACATTTGTTGGGAGTCTACCTTGTTCTCATAAATAACATAGTCTTCCCCCTCAAGGTATCACAGTCCTCAGGGGAAATGGACATGTAAGTAGCAAATGACTCCACAGCATGCATTATAGGAACGGCCATCTATCCACAGCCCACTGTGTGCCAGGCATTTTGCCCATACGATCTAATTTAATGTCTGGACAAATCTGCAAAATAGAGTTGTGGGGTTTTTTTGTCTCTCTCTTTTTTTTTTTTTGGAGATGAAGTCTCGCTCTGTCCCCCAGGCTAGAGTGCAGTGGCGTGATCTTGGCTCACTGCCACCTCCGCCTCCAGGGTTCAGCAATTCCTCTGCCTCAGCCTCCTGAGTAACTGGGATTACAGACACCCACCACCACACCCTACTCATTTTTGTATTTTTAGTAGAGAGATGGGGTTTCACCATGTTGGCCAGGCTGGCCTTGAAATCCTGACCTCCTGATCCACCTGCCTTGGCCTCCCAAAGTGCTGGGGTTACAGGCATGAGCCACTGTACCTGGCCTAAAAAATAGGTTTTATTTTTGTCATTTCACAGATGAGTAAAGTGAGGCTCAGAGAGGTTAAGTCACTTGTCCAAGGTCACACAGCTAGGAGGCATTAGAACTGCATTCAAACCCAAGGCAGTCTGATGCCAGAGCCTGTTCAGGCAGCTGCTCCAGTCTCTAGTGCCACTGGAAGGAAGGAGAGGGGGAGTGCCCCTAAACCAGCATGTGTCTTGGGGGTCGGGGGTGGCAGAGGCGGTGATGGCAAGGCTGGCTGGAGTTGGTTTCCTGGAGGTGGTGATTTCTGAGGTGAGCGTTAAATGATGAGTAGATGTTGGTAAAATATTAATATAATAATTTTATTATACAAACTGATTTGGCATAAAATGATATATTTGGTCAATGAAAATTATAGTTGCTCAGAAATGGTCACTTCACCTGCTGCAAAGTGTAACATAAGATCAACACCTCACCAGGCTTGGTGGCTCACGCCTGTAATCCTACCACTGTGGGAGGCCTAGGTGGGTGGATCACCTGAGGTCAGGAGTTCAAGACCAGCCTGGCCAACATGGTAAAACCCCATCTTTAATAAAAATACAAAAAATAGTGGGGCATGATGGCCCATGCCTGTAATCCCAGCTACTTGGGTGGCTGAAGCAGGAGAATCACTTGAACCCAGGAGGCGGAGGTTGCCATGAGCCAAGATCGTGCCACTGCACTCCAGCCTGGGTGACAGGGCAAGAGCGAGACTGTCTCAAAACAACAATGAAGAGCAGCACCTCCATCCTGCTGCTCATGGCTCTCTGAGACGGTTCTGGAAGTTTCCATAAGGCGTGCCTGCACCTCATTCCCTTTAGTTGTCGGTGTTTTTAACACAGGAAAGCTTGGGCGACTCTCCAATGTTTACCAAAAGTATACACAAGAAAGCGTAACAGTGGAGGACATTCTTTTGGCTTAATATCATCTGTAAATTAAATCCTCATCCCTCAGTTCTTCCTCAAGTACTGAGCCAACTGATGGTGATGACACAGACGCAGCCCCAGCTCCGGGTCACCAAGTCCCGACTGTGCCAGGCGCTGACCTCACTCCCTCTTCAGGACGGGGGTGCAGTTGGGAGTTCCACTCTCCAAGGAGATGAATGAGGCCCCGGATGTCCCTCCTCTGTGGCCACACATTGGCAGAGCCAGGATTTGAACCCTTGTCTGGGGATTCTGTGTCTTCTCTCTCTAAATTACAATCAATGCCTGCCAGACAGCTGGCTGTTTTCTTTCCCCGAAGATCCCACGTTGAGGGTGGTCCTGCGCCCTGCTGCCTCTTACAGGCACTTGTGGGCACACCATTTGATCCCCTATACTGGGGCCAGCAGGCTTTTTCTGTAAAGAGCCAGCTAGGCCAGTAGGCAGGGCTATGTGCCAATACAACTTTATTTATGAAAGCAGAAATTGAGATTCCATGTAATTTTCATGCCTTAAAGAATCTTTTCATTTTTCTTTTAACTATATAAAAATATGAAATCTGTTCTTAGCTCAGAAGCTGTATAAAAAACAGGCAGGGGGCCAGGGTGGTCTGCAGACTGCGGTTTACAACCCTGGCTCCACACCAACCCTTATTTCTGTCTCATGGATGGCAGACTGAGGCGCAGCTCTCGGCATGGGAGGGCAGAGCCGGGCATAACCCCTGGCCCTCTGAATCCAACCTCGGGTGCCCCTTGGAGCTCGGCAGTGGTTGTGGATTCCTTGAAGTTGATGCCACAGCCCATTGTGGGTGACCTGGCTGTGTCCCCGCTGAGGGCCGAGCTGAATCCCTTGCTTGTGTGGGACTGACCATCTCCTGCCGAGTGTGGAGAATGTCCTTCACCCTCTGCTCCCTGCCGCTGTGAGGCAGAAACATCTATACCTGCAGGGCAGGAAGACTTTGTCTTCTGGATCTTGGCCAGCTTGCCTGGGAGCCACCCACCCAGGATCCAGGTAGCAGCACCATCTTCTCCCTCGAGTGATGTCCAGGTACCCTCTGGGTCTGTCTCGCTTGGCTGGGCTGCATCTGGACCTACCCAGCTGCCTCCTGTGTGGGATGGAGCCCACGGGTGGTATAAGGGCCAGGCGGCCTGGGCCATGACCTTGCCGGTCCTCCTACTTGTAACCTTGGGCAGGCTCCTTCTCCTCTCGGTGCCTCTGTTTGCACATAGAGGGCTGAAGAGCTTAGCTCAATGCCTGACACAATCTGTGTGTGACCAAGGGACCAGCCAAGCTTGCCCAGGGTCTGGAATATCACGGAAATACCAGCCCAGTCACGTCTGCCTTGGCGACGAGGTTCCCATCCTCCCCCTTGCCCTCCGGGCAGAGCTCCTCTGAGCATTTTGTCCTCACACCTAACTGGACAAAGAAAACCCAGCCATCCCTAGAGATCCCTTTATGATCCCAGCTGTTGCCCAGAAAGGACCACTTCATAGAAGAAAGATCCTGGGCTCTGGAAACCACTGCAGCTTATGAGCTGTGTGACTGGGGCACGTTACTGAACCTGTGTGAGCCTCTGGTCTGCCAGGGATAGGGATATTCACTTCCTGGGCCGGTTGTGAGGAGGAAGGGGGATGTTGTCTGAAAATGGCCACTTGTAGTGTTTGCTATTCCCTGGTGGCCACCTTCTCCCTCACAGACCCCATACTTACTCTTTTTTTTTTTTTTTTTTTTGAGACAGAGTCTTGCTCTGTTGCCCAGGCTGCAGTGCAATGGTATGATCTTGGCTCACTGCAACTTCCACCTCCTGGATTCAATAATTCTCATGCCTCAGCCCCCTGAGTAGCTGGGATTACAGGCACCCACCACCACATCCAACTAATTTTTATATTTTTAGTAGAGATGGGGTTTCACCATGTTGGCCAGGCTGGTCTCGAACTCCTGACCTCAGGTGATCTGCCAGCCTTGGCCTCCCAAAGTGCTGGGATTACAGGCATAAGCCACTGTGCCCGGTCTATACTTACTCTTTTCTAAAAGCTATCCTTTGCTGCATGCCCCCGCCCCGGCAAGGCTGAGCAGAGGACGTGGGAGCTGGAAAGTGTAGAAACCCCCTTCCCGGACTTTCTGAGACTGCAACACCATGCGTCTGACTCAGGGTTGCCAAAGAGCTCTTTCCGCACTTCTCCAATTTCGCAAGGATGCCAGTGGCCCCGGTGCCAAGGGGCACAGTTAGTTCTGGACTGCAGTTAGAGGACGTTCTTCTGGTGAAGGGTAGCTTAGCTGTTACTGCCTGGGCACTGAGCCTGGGTTGGTCTCTTGGGGGATGCCCTGTGCTGCTTACTGGGAGGAGACCTGGTCAGGCCCTAACACAGCAGATCTGTGAGAGGAAAGAAAAACAGACGCCACCTCGCTTTGGGAGAGAATCTCTCTTTTCTTGCTGTCTTATTCCTGACGTTTGGGAAGTGCCTGCAGTATTTCAGGCTCTGTGCTGGGAGGTAAGAGAGAGCAAAGACCACAGCTATCCTTGATGTACTGCAGACCCCAGGGGCCTTCCTAGGCCAGGATGGGGTTTGGGCATCGAAGGTCTCTGGCTTTCTGGCTACGGGGAAGTCATGTTTTCTCCTCTCTAGGTCTAGAGAAGGCCCCTAGGGAGGGTCCCAGGGTGCACTGCCCTGGCTCCTGAGTCAATGCCATCTCTGCAATTCTCAGACCCACGCCTTAGACCCCCCCAAGACTGGAAGAGCCATTTTGTCGCATCTCCCTACATAGCACTTAAATCCCCCATGAGTATTTTTTTTAGACGCTTCCATGCTGCTTGTGATGGGGAGCTCACTACCACCCGGGTGGCTTTTTCCTAACTTGGGCAGCTTTGCTTCATGTGGTACCTCCCAAATCTGCCCTTTAGAAAGGCAGTTAAAGAAAACTTCTAACAAAGCTGTTAGGGGAAGGAAAACTGGACTGGACCCCTTGGGAGGTCATGAGCCCTCCTCAGTAGCCACCTTCCCTGTCACTGGAGGTATATAAAGTGGAAGCTGAGCTCCCACTTGACAAGGAGAATAGAATATTATTGATTGTTAACATGTCCAGAAAAGAGTAGGGGCTGGGCGCAGGGGCTCTCTCCTGTAATCCCAGCACTTTGGGAGTCTGAGGCCAGTGGATCACCTGAGGTCAGGAGTTCGAGGCCAACCTGACCAACACGGCAAAACCATGTCTCTACTAAAAATACAAAAGTTAGCCAGGTGTGGTGGAGAGCACCTGTAATCCCAGCTACTTGAGAGACTGGGACATGAGAATAGCTTGAATCCAGGAGGCGGAGGTTGCAGTGAGCCGAGATTGTGCCATTGCACTCCAGCCTGGGTGACAGAGCAAGACTCTGTCTCAAAAAAAAAAAAAAAAAAAAAAAAAAAAGAGTAGGGAACCTACGTGTAGCCGGGGAAATTGCGGACTTTCAAGAAACCCGAGCCTCGGGCTTTCCCTTCCCTTTGCTCTGTGGCCTGCCCTTCCCCCTCCATAAGGCAGGGAAACGCAAGTGGGCCTGGTGCCTTCCCCGCCACCCCCTAGCCCAGCTTTGCCCATGCAGCTGTCCCAGGCCAGCTGTCCAGGCCCCAGCTGCCCGGCGGTGCTGGCTCCCTTGGCCCCACAGGGCCTGAAGGCTGGCGGTGGACACTCCTGGATTTTCTGGCCTCAGAGTCACGGTGAGGCAGTCAGCTTCCCTCTTGCTTCCGGGGTCCTCCCCTCACCTGGGGTCTTTTGGAGTGGAGGGGCACAGCGTGCTCAAGCATGATTTGTGTCATCTCAGAAGCACGGCTTGTGTCATTGGAGAGACTGAAAACTTGGAAACAACCTGTGTGTCCAATCTTAGAGTGTTGGTGAAATGCTTTATGGGATGGCACCTCTGGGACTTTAACCTGGGGCCACTGGGCTTCCTGAATGGGTTTCATGAGGCCCATGAATTCCCAGAAATTATTAGCATCACACAATGCTAACTACACATGAATTTTCTGGGGCACTCTGTGAGCCCCCAAATGTTAATCAGTACTGGCAAATAGGATGGAATCCCATGTACCATGTGAAGCGGTGTTGTAGAAGAGCATTTCATCAGCACATAGAGAGTGAAGATTATAGAATGAAAAAAAGACCACAAAACGCTGTACGGAATGAGCCCAATTTTGTTTAGAACCGTTTGTTATACACACACACAAACACACATACATATGAATTATAGCTTCTAAAGTGATGACAATTTTTAATTGCTGGGGTGTGCTACATTTTGTTTGATTTCTGGTGTTCTGTTTCTGTTGGGTGTTCTACAATGCATGTTTATTGCCTCTGTAATAAGAAGCCAGGACACTCAGCCCATTTTCTGAGAAGCCAGAATTCCCCTTCTCACCTTGGCAGCCCCCACAGTTCCCAGCCCCTAGTTCCAGAGGGAGTCTGTGAACCAGCACAGGTCTCACCTCTGTGTCTGTCAATGCATCACTAACTTCCTGGCCCCCTGACTTCAGCCAGAGTCCATCCGTGCAAGTTTCAGAGCCTGGGCCACGGAGGTGCGGAGCGAGGGTCTCCCTCTACCATTTTGCTCCCAGAAGCCACAGCCCCAGTGCAGTGTCTGACCCAGATCCTAACTGCCAAGCATCAAGTACCTGGCCCACGAGACTGCTCATGGGACCTCACTTCCTAGCTATGTGGCTTTAGGCTAGTGGTCTAACCTCTCTGGGGCTCTGCGTCCTGCAAGGCAGGGGCAGGGTTAGAACTCACCTCCTGGGGCTGCTGCAAGGGCAAACCGAGATGATCCCCTCACTGGCCTGCCTGCCTTCTGTCTTCCCCCAGGGAGTTCCAGGACTGGCAGGATGGGCTCAGCCTGTATCAAAGTCACCAAATACTTTCTCTTCCTCTTCAACTTGATCTTCTTTGTAAGTATGTCCCATGCCACCCTGACTGTCCCGTACCATCCTGACTGCCTCCGAGAGATTCTCTTCCCAGGGGCTTCCCAGCCTGAGCCCTTCAGCGTTGACCAGGCTGGGATTGGGAAGGTTTGGTGGGTGGGGACTGAGGATGGACTGTCTCAATGGAACCTGGTGGGGGCGGCGAGGAGATTCCCTGGCATTCCCGATTGGTCCTTTGACAAAGCTTTATAATCCTGACCCGGCCTTCCCCTCTCCTAGAAAACCGGAAGCCTGGGCTAGCCAGGGCTGTAAATGGGGATGGGGAGGACGAGGAGAGCCCCTGGGCATCCCCCTAACTCCACAGCAGGAGCTGCTGGAAGAAGCCTCTTAACATCTCCCTAGTCCTGTCCTGGCCCCCACCCTGCCCGTGTGATTTGGGATTACAGGAGGATTGTTTGAGGCCAGGGATTCAAGAACAGGTTGGGCAACATAGCAAGACCCTGTTTAATCTACAAAAAGTGACCTTTGACCGTTCCAGGCCCCAGTTGCCCCTATGACACCCTGTCCCTGTTGTGGGGAGGTATCTCCCTGAGCTCTCACAGGGTGAACAAGAGTGGGCCAGCGAAGGACACATACCTCCCTCCCCAGACCCAACCCAGCTGGCCTCACTGGGTCCCCAAGCCACGGGCCATCCAGATGTCAGCTCTGTGGACACTGACTGCTGGTTTTCCTGGGGTCTTGGTTTTCCTCTCTGGCCTGGCACAGATGCCTCTTGCCTTGGAGTTGCGGGGATGGTGGGGTGTGTGTGAGTGTGAGTGTGTCGTGGGGGGAGCAGTGCCCTGGAGAGGCCTTCATAGCCCCGGAATAGTGTTGGCGGCACTGGCTTCTCCATGTTGATAGTTTACCCTATACTGTTAAAAAAAATAGGATTGTACAGTAGGATGTTTATTATGATCCAAATTTTTAAATGTACCTATTCATAAAAAGTGAGCATTTTTGAGAGGAGAAGAAAATCCCTCTGAATGTTAACTTTGGGATTCCTGGGAACTTTGATTTTATTCTTTATGCATCTCTGTATTTTCCAAATTTTCTATGGTAGATATGAATTACTTGTTTGGGGAGGGGGGGGTTTTACATTACAAGTTACATAGTTCAGGGAAGTTTGGGAAATAAAAAAGAATCATTCCAAATTCCCCTTCAGGCCAGTTATGGCGGCTCATGCCTGTAATCTCAGTGCTTTGGGATTACAGGAGGATCGTTTGAGGCCAGGAGTTCGAGAACAGCTCAGGCAACATAGCAAGACCCTGTTTCTCTACAAAAAAAACTTTTAAAATTCCCCTCCCTAACTCTAACCCAAGGCACAGATATGTACACGTGTGTTCCTGGCACCCGCACACAAGTATGCACACACGCATGTGCCCGCACAAGCAACCCTGGCACAGGGCTGTTTTTGTCCACCCTGGCTGCCTCCTGGAGGACCCTATGAGGCCCCACTGTGGCTTGTTCCTCTGCTCACGGCAGCCAGCGCTGGAACCCACCCCGGGCCGGGCTGGGCTTCCCCAGCTTGGCGGTCAGGTCTCTCCTGGCTGCCCTAGGACTTTGGGAAACAGCTGCCCTTGCAGGCAAAGGCAAGCTTTCCTGGCAAACACTTGCTGTCTGGGCTGAGACTCAGCATAAAGGCCAAGAGACCAGGACCGGCGGGTAGGGGAGAGAGGAGCGCTGTAGCTCTATCCCTGGGGGCTTTAGAGTCTAGAGAGAGGGGCCTGGGATCTAGCCTAGGAGGTCACAAGGAGCTTGAGTTTCAGGGCTATGAAAACTTTCCTCCATGCGGTCAGGGGGTGGTGAGATCCTAGTAGAGAAAGGGAGTGGGGTTGGTGGTGCTGGCCAGGGTGTCCCTTTCTGTCCTGCTCCCAGGCTGCCCTATGGAACCAGGGACTGGAAAAGCTGCCCTCTGGCCAAGGCTTGGCCTTCGTATTGGCTCCTCCAGGGAGCTGGCAGGAGCCAGGTGTTAACTGTCCATGTGCCAGGGCCCAGGAGGGCCCATCAGGATGCTGGAGCGGGAGAGGGGGAGCCTGTGTGACAGGAGGGTGACAGGGAAAGCAGAAGGCTGGAGGAGGCAGAGCAGGCTTGTTTACTCCTCAGCAAACGTGTATCTGACACTCAGTATCTTCAGATGTTCAGGACGGAAGAGCCCTCCTTGATTGCTATACATCCGGAGGTTGTGTCCTAGGGAGCAGTGGGCCTCCAACAAATAACTTCTCACATGCATGGAAAATTGCGGTTGTTGGGGTGCTAGGAACAGATAGGCTTCTGGGAAAGCAGATGAGGCTCTTGGCCTGGTCGGGGAGGTCAGCAAAGACTTCCTGGGGTTCTGGGTGTGGCTATGGGGAGGGGGTCAAGGGGTTGAGGCAGAGTGCACCTCCCCAGGCACAGACCAGGCTGGCCTGCCTCTTTGATTTATGCATGTTGGGAGGGGTCAGGTGATTGGATTTGTGGTTTGGAAAAACCCACGTGGCTGCCATGTGTGCTCGCGCCTGCACGCATGCGCACGTGCACAGCTTTGCCTGTGCTCCCTCTGGACTCCAGACTCCCCAGCAAATGGCCACTTTTCTCAGGTCCAGAGAAATGCAGAGGCACTGGTGCTGTGGCTCTGCTGGGGAGGGGCGCTCGCTGCCCTGAGGGTCCCGGATCCTGGCTGAGTCCCATCTGGGGACTGGAGAAGGACTGCGGAGTGATTAACATGGGGCGTGCCCTGCAGCCCCAGTCTTGGTTCACAGAGAAAAAGGGGGTGCCATGGTGCCTTACCCATTCTGGTAGGCTGCCCAGCCTTCTTCCTGCCTGTGCCGCGGCCCCGTGGCTGGTTCAGCCACACCTGACCAGCAGGCAGGGGTCATCAGACCTGCAGGGGACTGAAGGGGTGGCCATGGGGGCTTTGCTGTCTGGGTTCCTCTTGGTAAGTTGAGGAGGCAGCTGAGTAGTGTGGGGTTTGGATCTGCTTGGGATTATGTGTGCCCAGAGGAGATTTTCTGTCCTGCCTGCCACTCCTTCTTGGTAGGAGCTGTCCTCCCTTTTGCCCCATCCTGTGAATGTGGGAGGGAATGGAGCAGGGGCTCTGCCCACGTGGGTCTGAGGTGCAGAGGGAGCAGACGTGGGCCTGGGCACTGGCCTCCGCCTCGCTGTCCTGCGGGGTGGTGGCGGTCTGGGAAGGGGTGCAGGAGTCTTGGGGAACCAAACTCCCGGGTCCTGGAAAGCCCCGCTTTCCCCCAGCTGTGCAGGCGAAGGTGGACCCACCTTCCAGCAGACCCTTCTCCTCCCCAGTGTCTCAGGGGCCTTTCTGTCCCCAGAGACTGGCTTTCTTGGTGAAGGCCAAGGACAGATCCCAGATATCCCTACAGCACACCTGCCACTGTTTGGCTTCCAGTCCCTAATGGATGAAATCAAGGCCTCCTATAAAATTCCCTGTGTACAAAATGAGGACGATTACAAGGCCCATGTCACTGGGAGAGAGGAGAGGACAGATAGGACCTCCGTGATGATTCTGGTGGGTGACACTGGGGGTAGATGTGGGGTGGTCACCGTGCCTTTGTGGTTGTAGCCACCAGCCACAGTGGTCTAAGGAAGCAAGTTCAAGGGTAAGGGGAGAGAGGCAGCCCCCTGCCCCCCACACTGAGCCACCTGGGCCCTGGGGCAAAAGGAGTTGTCAATAATACTGATGCTGTCAACATTTTATTTCACAGTTTAATAGTTCATTTATCATGGATTTCGGAACTTAATTTTTTTTTTTTTTTTTTTTTTTTTTTGAGACAGAGTCTCACTCTTGTTGCCCAGGCTGGAGTGCACAACCTCAGCTCACTGCAACCTCCGCTTCCTGAGTTCAAGTGATTCTCCTGCCTCAGCCTCCTGAGGATCTGGGATTATAGGCACCCACCACCACACCCAGCTAATTTTTTGTATTTTTAGTAGAGATGGGGTTTCACCATGTTGGCCAGGCTGGTCTTGAACTCCCGACCTCAGGTGATCCACCCACCTTGGCCTCCCAAAGCGTTGGGATTACAGGCGTGAGCCACTGCACCCGGCCATTAATTTTCTTTTAAAAATATTGCTGCAAAATATTATTTATCTCGATTCCTGAGTTTTTAGTGCTCCCTCCTGTGTTACCCCTGAGGCAAGGTGCCTCCTGCCTTGGGCCAGTCAGGGCTCTTATCTTTGATAATGATAGAATGAGGCTGATGGAGACCTTGGGCCCAGGCCAGCCCCAGGCTCAGGTCTCTATGGCAGCTGCTGACCTCAGACCTGAGATTATGGGATGATGGCTGAGGTGGGAATCTGGGGCTGATGATACAGGTGGGAGTTTCAAGATGGGCCATCCACCAGGTGGGCCCGAATCCAGACCCCAGGTAATGGCCAGCCTTGTGGGCTGACACAGGGCCACCCCCACCTCCAAAGGGAACCTGCGTCTTTACCCAGACGACAGCACTTCCCCAGCCTTAGCCAGCTTTGTGGGATGGGGGATCTGGGACACCACCTGGGGAGATGAGCTCAGCCCTGGTAGATGGGAGAGAAGCAGGGAATCCCTGGGCTTGGGGTCCTTATTTGTAACCCCTCATTCATTTTATTTTTCTTTCTGGTGGGATAGGGACTGGGGTCTTGCCCTGTCACTCAGGCTGGAGTGCAGTCTCATAAACAGTTCACTGCAGCCTTGACTTCCCTGGGGTCAAGTGATCCTCTCTCCTCAGCTTCCCCAGTAGGTGGGACTACAGGCATGCACCACCACATTGGCTAATTTTTAAAATTTTTTGTAGAGTCGAGGTCTCACTGTGTTGGCCAGGCTGGTCTCAAACTCCTGGGCTCAAGTGATCTGCCTACCTGGGCCTTCCAAAGTGCTGGGATTACAGGCGTGAGCCACCTTGCCCAACCTTCATTTTCCTTTCAAATCCTGCATTTGCAGTTTGGTTCAGGAGCTCATTCATTCCCCCAACCACTTAGCGCCCAGTGTTATAGAGCGGCTGGGGATGCAGAGCCGCCTCCAACCAGCCCTGCCCTCAGGGGGCTCACAGTCTAGCCAGAGAAACCATCACAGCAGTTAGACCCAGTGGGAATGACTGTTAAGTGGTTGCCACAGAATGGGGGTACCTAAATCTGCCTGAGGGGGTCAGTGAAGGCTCCTGTGGCAGGTGGCCCCATTGCTTAGACCTGGGGATGAGTTGGACTTTGATGTTCAAGTCCATGGAGGGTCTTCCTCAGAGCCTGTCTTGTTTGGGAAGCTCCTGGGCCCTCAGCTGGGTGGGTGGAGGGATGAGCTGAGAAAAGGGCTGGGAGATGCAGCAGGAAGGATGCCCCTGGCAGGAGACTGCACCAGGAAGCTCGGCTGAGTCACACGTGGCAGAGGGGCGAGCAGGGGGGCAAGAGGGACTCCCTGCCCAGGGTCCTGCTGTCTGGCTTGCTGGGCTGTGGGACATCCCTGAGGCCGTCTAGGTATCCCTGGGCTGGAGAAGGGTGGAGCTGGTGCCCTCTGTGGCCCCCTGCCCTGCCCACTCCACCCTGACTTGGGTTGCAGGGACAGCTGGCAGGGGGAGGGCTCTCATCTGCTCTTGGCTCCCCATTTAACTGTCCCTTTCTCCTTCCAGATCCTAGGTGCAGTGATCCTGGGCTTCGGGGTGTGGATCCTGGCCGACAAGACCAGTTTCATCTCTGTCCTGCGTAAGGACCCCTCGGCTTCCCCAGAGCCCGGCCCCCTCGAGACAGGCACAGCTGCTCCCATGAGTGCCTCGGCTTCAATGCCTGTTGCTTTTCCAGCTGACCTCAGGGATGCGGCCAGGTCCCACTGCCGACCACTGCCCATGGCTCCCTCTGCAGGGGTTTCCAAAAGGAATTTTCTCTTCTTCCCCGAACAAAGCTGCCGTTGTCTGGGGAACACTGGGAGATGAGGGAGGCTTGTTTTCCCTTCCTGGCCCCTTCCCTCAGCCCTGACCTTGGGAAAGCCTCTTATGTTCTCTGTCCCTTCACTTGCCCGCTCAGCAGAATGTGGGCAGCAGTCCCTCCCATTTCACAGAGATGTAGGAAAGATAGATTGTCAGAGCCGCTATGAGTGGTCCTTCACTGTGAGCCCGGCAGCAGCTGAGTGGGTCAGGGTGTGCACGGATAGAAAGGTTCCAGGCACAGCCACCAGGTATCATGCTTGTCATGTGCCCAGCGGTTTGCACCAATAAACTGTTTTTTTAAAAAATTTTTTTGATACAGAGTTTCTCTCTTGTTGCCCAGGCTGGAGTGCAATGGCACCATCTTGGCTCACCTCAACCTCCGCTTCCAGGGTTCAAGCAGTTCTGCATCAGCCTCCCAAGTAGCTGGGATTACTGGCGTGCACCACCACACCCGGCTACTTTTGTATTTTCAGTAGAGACGGGATTTCACCATGTTGGTCAGGCTGGTCTCGAACTCCCGACCTCAGGTGATCTGCCCACCTCAACCTCCCAAAGTGCTGAGATTACAGGCATGAGCCACTACGCCTAGTCTGATAAACTCTTAATCCCACCACAGCCCTGTGAGGTAGATACTACTCAGAAAGGTTGTCATTGCTGAAGTTCACACAGCTTCTAAATGGGAGGTATAGGCCTCAGACTCCAGGGGCTTTGGTCCTAAATGCAGCACATGGCAGGGTGAGCCACAGTGTGGAAACCCCTTCTCTCTCCTTTAGAGGCAGAAGGAAAGGAGCCCAAGGCATTTCTACAGAGAGAAGAGCCCTTTCGCCCTACTCAGCCTCCTCCAGGAAGCCCTTAGGGCCTGCCACACTGACCTCTGGGGCGCTCCCTGTGGTGGGAGGGAGGCACAGTGGAGGCCACCAGGGCACAGCCATGCCACTCCCCTTGCTGAGTGTGGCCCTGGCTCCCTTCTCCCAGCAGCTGCCCGAGGCAGCTGGTTTGGAATGTGGCCCATGGCAGCTGCTTGATTTACATAAAGCGGAACCTGGCTAGGTTGTGACGATGGAGGGGCCACATCTGTCCCCCTGACCCCAGGGACTAGGCCTCCCCTCTAGGAGCTGGAAGGCGAGGATGCTCCACACTGTAGCCACATCTGATGCACCTGGAGCTATGGGTCTCACCCCTTTCACCCTCCATTCTGGGGTTAGGGAGGGTGGGCGGCCCATGCTCCGCACACTCTCTAGACCTGTGACACACCCTGCTCGGCCCCATTAGGCCCAGCTCTCCACTTCCTGAGTCACAGCCCAACCCAGCATGCACTGCACCCCAGGGCAAAGTCTAGAGGCCCAGCCCGCTCACCCACATTTCTGCCCTCTGCGCCCTGCCCCAGGATGGTGCAGTGGGGGTGAGCCCACTGCGTGGGGAGCACTTCCTGCTGCAGCTCTGGCCTCCCTGTTAACACGGGTCTAAGAATCTCAAGCTGACCTGACCTTAAAGACCTACCATATGGGGGTGCATTTTCCAGATGCTTTGACCTGAGCCCCACCCGCCCTGAGGGACCTGACTTTGTTGGTGTAGGTGGGAGCCTAAGAACTGGTGTTTTCTAAAAAGTTTCCCCCGGTAGATTCCCCAGACAGCCAGGGTTCAGAAACACCGATCCTCTAGCCTGTCACTAGGTACTTGTGTAAACTGAGGCCGGGGGTGGGGAGAAATGACTTGCTGAGAGTCACGGAGCACGTGAGGGGCAGAACTAGGGACAGCTCTTTCCCTACCGAGTTGAATCCCTGCTCTGAGTCCATGGGCTGGGCATTTCTATCGTTTTACAGAGGAGGAAACTGAAGCACAGAGAGGTACAGTAACTTGTTCAAGGGCACACAGCGAGCAGGTAGGGGAGCTGGCTGTAGACCAGGTGGCCTAGCTTCTAAGCCTGTGCCTTGAACTCCTGGACCACCACATGGCTTTGCAGTCACGTGCCACTGGTTAGCACCTTAGTAAGAGGAAGCACTCTGCAGCGAAGAGCAGGCTGGAGCCTGACTGCTGGGGTTCGATTCACAGCTGTGCTGTCCACTAGCTGTGTGACCCTCAGCACATTGCTTCACCTCTCTGTGCCTCCTCATCTATAAAATGAGGATCGTAATAGAATGCACTTTCTGTGGTTATTGTGAGAAAAGAAATGAGCCTCTCATTTTTATGTGAAAAGAGTTTAGGACAGCCCCTGGTGAAAAACCCTACATAAGTGATTCTTAACTACGTTTTATGATACAATTTAATCCCTTTGCCATCTTCAAGAAGCAGGTTTAGACCCATTTTACAGAGAAGGAAATAGAAAATGGCTTGCACAAGGCCAGAGTGTATTGCAACAGAGCTGGGATTAGAATCTGCTTCTCGTGATTCCTCGTTTCTGTTTGGGTCACTTTCTTTCTACATTCCCGGTCCCTCCTAGGCCCAGGAAGACTTAAGAATAGTTTTTTTGTGTGTGCCGTGCACTGTGGATGGCCTACCCCAGAACATACCCTCGCCTGCTTCCTACATCAGGTTGCTCAGATTTGGGGTAGGCCTGGGATCCTGGGTGAGGACAAGAAGTGGCGTCAATGAAATATTCTGAGATGCGGAGACCTCACAGTTCTGATCTCCTGGGGGAAGGATCTGAGTTGGGGTCTCAGCCCCGGGCCTTGCCTGCCAGGCGACTTGCAGCCTGCCAGCCTCTCCGAACCGCAGGGTCCTTGCAGACATATCAGGATGTGAGCACAGCCGTAGAGGGCCGTTGCTGAAATTAAGCAGGATGCTTTGGATAAAGGGCCTTGTTCAGGGCTGGCACAGAGCGGCGGTCGGGGCAATGCCAGTTTCTTTTTTCTGGGAGTAGTCACTGGGAGGAATTGTTGGAAGTCAAACCCAGGAAATTTAGGAAGAGTGGTATTGACAGCCTCTCCCTGCCCACGCCGATGGCTGGGGCTCGGTGCCAGAAGGTCCCTACGCTCACCCTCAGGAAGCCGGGGGACTCCTGCGAGGAACTGGGTGGAGGGAGCCTGGGAGTAGGGTGGATTGGCCAGGGCTCTTCCTGAGCTCCAGAACATTCTGTCTGTGACCAGGAAGTAGAACTGAATCCCACAGTCTCCCTCCCACCATCCAGCTTGGTAGTTATTACTTAAAGGAGCGGATGTTCCTTTAAGGAGGCCTCTCTGGGGTCCCCAGGGAGTCATGGCCAGCCTCAGACCTATATTCTTTCTTCTGATGGTCAGGGGTTGGCCCTGGCTGTGCCTCAGTCCTTAGGGGAGCAGGTGAAAAACGCAGATCCTTGGCCTTCTGCTGGGAGTGTCTTGGTCGGGTTGTAACAGACGCAGGCATCTGCATCTCTAAGAGCCTCCTCTGATCCACAGTGCTCTCCACCCTCCTGGAGACCATGCCCAGCCTTCCAGAGTGCCTGGGGCTGTGGTGGGAGCCACCTACACCCTGGCCCTCCAGGTATATCCCATGCCCTGGGGGTACAGCGTAGCCATGCTGGTGAGCTAGAGATGACATGCGCTTTACCCTGTGTGATGAGTTGGGTATCTTAGGAAATGCTGGCCAAGTGCCCCGGTGAGACTCCTGACCTCCACCTCCCGGGGTGGGCCTGTCCACAGGTGGCTCTAAAGAGGGTCTTAGCCATCAGGCCCTCCCTGCGCCTCCTAAGCATCATCCCCTCCCAGGCTCCTCTCTCGCTCTCACTGGTCCATAATTTTGCTTTCTGATCTTCAAATACACCAAGGTTGGCCTTGGCTAACACCTGTAATACCAGCGCTTTGGGAGGCCGAGATGGGCAGATCACGAGTTCAGGAGATTGAAACCATCCTGGCCATGACGAAACCCCCTCTCTACTAAAATACAAAAAAGTTAGCCAGGCATGGTGGCATGTACCTGTAGTCCCAGCTACTCAGGAGGCTGAGGCAGGGGACTTGCTTGAACTCAGGAGATGGAGGTTGCAGTGAGCTGAGATCACGCCACTGCTGTCCAGCCTGGCAACAGAGCAAGACTCCGTCTCAAAAAAAAAAAAAATGCGCCAAGCTTACTCCTTCCTCAGGCCTTTGCACCTGCTGTGCCCACTGCCTGGAATGCTTTTCCTGCAGATTTTCCCTTGGCTGACTTCTCCATTCACGTCTCGGCTCACATGTCCCCAGCTCAGGCTGGCCTTCCTTAACCCATCCCGACCCTCTCCCTGCCCAGCAGGCCTCTGCACTTAGCCAGCTTTGGTACCTGCATGGCCCCTAACACAACCAGAAAACCTGTGTTGTGGGCTTTTTGCCTCCACCCTTATCACCAAATGTCAGACCTCATCCGTCTCCCTTCTGCATCCCCAGCAGATGGCACAGTGCCTGGCATGAAGTAGGCACCTAGTAAATAATTGTTGGCTGAGTGAACATGCATCACACCTGTCACAATACATGTCCCCATGCATCAGTGAAAAGAGTGTGGCGTTGGAGGTTTGCATATTTCCAAATCCCAACTCAGGCCCTTGCCTGTGCGCCTTTCTGAACCTCAGTTTTCTCATCTGTGAAATGGCCATGCTAGTGCCTGCCAGGCAGGGTGATGTCAGAGTTGGAGATGGTGTGTGGAAAGCCCCGAGGCACAGTGAGTGAACAAGAAAGGCTGCTGTTTGTTGTTATATGGACAAAAAGAAAGGCGGGTTAAAAATCAACCTGGAATCTTAACATCCCTGGCCCCTGCAGAACCAGCCAGCCCCTCGTCTGTCAGTTCCGCAGATAGTCACTGTGTGCAGCACCTCACTGAGAGAGGCGCTGTTCGGGCCGGGGGTTCCCTGGGAATAAAGCGAAGCTTCTGCTGTCATGCAGCTCTGGTTCTCGGTGGAGGGGTAGAGCAGACAATGAGCGGGAGGGATCTGTTTGGATCAGGAGTTAAATGTCTGTTCAATCCTGAGTAGTGTTACAAAGAAAAAAATGAAGCTGAGAAGGGAGTTGGGCTTGATAAGGGTACAGATTGCGATTTGACATGGGGGAGGGACACATCTGGGGATGGCAGCTTCCAAGGGAGTGAGCTGGTTCCCTCTTGGACAGTGAAAAGCCAGCAGGGGAACGCAGCTGACCCCAACACCCGGGCTCCAAGGAGGGATTGGGAAGCAGACCTGGGCAGTTAGGCCGGGCGTTTGTACCCGCTGGACCCACTGATGTTGTACTTATGAGTAAGTGCGCCTCTCCTCCCCCTAGAAACCTCCTCCAGCTCGCTCAAGATGGGCGCCTACATCTTCATCGGCGTGGGGGCGGTCACCATGCTCATGGGCTTCCTGGGTTGCATCGGTGCCGTCAACGAGGTCCGCTGCCTGTTGGGGCTGGTGAGTACGGGTCCCTCCGCAGCTGCCTGCCTGTTCCGTTTCATCCAGCCAAGCGCAGCCTGAGCACTGTGCTGGCCATAACTCCAGGTGGAGAGCATCTCCCACGGCGTGTGGGCTGGCTACACCAGGTAGGGAATCCGCGGCTGACTTTATGCCTGCTTTGTGTCCTCAGTACTTCGCCTTCCTTCTCCTGATCCTCATTGCCCAGGTGACGGCGGGGGCCCTCTTCTACTTCAACGTGGGCAAGGTAAGCCCTTTCTCCCTCCCTGCCCCCTCACTGGGCTGGACTGGCCATGTGGGGGATTGACGTTGAGTGTGGGGGATGGACAAAGCCCCCCAGTTGTCATAGACAGACCCAGTAGGTGTCAGGGACAGCCTCCTGGACGCTTTTCCATTTGATCAAGTGGGGGAGCGTTAGAGGAGAAGGTGGCAGGTGTGGGCAGTCGCTGCTGGGCCTGACTCACTGCTTTCTAGCTGTGTGGCCTTGGGCAAGCGGCTTGCCTCTATGTGTCTGCTCCACCGTCTGTGAAATGGGGGCAATAAGAAAACGGAACGCTCGGAGTGGTTGCAAAGATTATTCGAGATTATCTGGGTAAAACACGTAGCACAGAGCACCATAAGTACTCAACAAATGTCATGCTTGTTATTAAGATACTTTAGCAGTTATTATACCACTCACCCACAAATGAGGTGTCGGAAGGGAGATGTTCGGCTTTCAGAAATAGAAAACCAGACTTAGACTTGAAGGGCCTCTGCGGTTGACATAACCGGAAGTCTGGTTTGGAAGCTCAGCGGCCCTGGTTCTGGCTGTTCAGCATCCTTGCTGGGATGGCTTTCCTGCATCATACGACTTACCTCATGGTTCCAAGGTGGCTGCCATAGCACCAGGCACAGCGTCTGTGTTGCTGTGGCTGGAAGATGGGGAAATGTGCAGTGCCAGCCATGGCCATCCCTTTTATCGGAAAAGCAAGCCCTGACTGGGTGAGGTGGCTCACACCTGTAACCAATGTTTAGGGAGGCAGACTTGGGGCGATTACTTTGAGACCAGTCTGGGCAACATGATGAGACCCATTTCTACAGAAAATTTTTTAAAACGCTGGGCATGGTGGTGTACACCTGTGTTCCCAGCTACTCAGTAGGCTGAGGCAGGAGGATCACTTGAGGCCGGGAGGTTGAGGCTACAGTAAGCTATGCAACAGAGCCTGGGCAACAGAGTGAGACCCCATCTCAAAAAAAAGAAAAACAAAAGCATCCAATAGACTTCCCCAGACTGAGTTACAAAGCCACCCCTCATTGCAAAGGAGGCTGAGAATGTGAGTATCCAACCGTCAGATTCCCAAGACAGAGCCACAAGGAGCCAAGAATGGCCATTGGGTGAGCAGGTGTGAGTCACAGTTATCCATGTATTATATATGAAGCACCTACTGTGTGCACATGGTATCTTCTAGAAGCTTTCCATACATCATCTTGTCCTCACAATGGCCCTGCAGGGTTTTATGTTGACAGATGGAGAAGCAGATGCCCCGAGATGAAGAGCAGTAACCACATTGATAACCGTGACCCTGACCCCACCACCCCTGCCCTGGAGTCCAAGCACAGCATATACCAAGGACAGTGTCAGCCACATTACACTCCTCCCGCTGATCCTCACGAGGCCCTCTCAAGGTAGCGGGAGAATCTCCATCCTGCAGATGAAAAAGTACAGGCAGCCTAGGCACCCTGACTCCGAGTCCTGAGTTCACACGTCCCTAGACCCTGCTGCATGTGACCTGTGGCCTAGCAGACCCTGGGGTCCCTGCTTCCAGTGCCACCAGTTCTTGTCCCACAGTGAGGGTGGCAGAGCCGGCAGCCAGGCGGGCTCCTGCACGTTACCACTGGGAGGTCAAGTTGCCCAACATCTCTCTTGGAAGGGAACTGAGCTCGACAACTAACACTAAGAAGAACTTAGAACAAGCCTGGAGCTCAGCGCTTCACGCAAACTGCATTAATTATTCCTCACAACAATCCTGTGAGATTGTGGGCATCAATAACCCCCATCTTCAGATGAGGAAGCTGGAGCACAGAGAGGTCAAGCAGCTTGTCCAAGTTCACACAGCTAGTAAAGTGGCAGGGCCAGGACTGGAACCCAGGTAGCCTGCCTTCTGAGCTCATGCCTGTGAAATTTTCACTGTGGCAGTTCCTGCCTGAATCTGTTTTATTTATTTATTTAAGCAAATAAGTCATATTTACTTTATTTATAAAATAAATAAAAATTATTTATTCTTGTTTCCCGGGAGAATTTGATGTGGCTCCCAGCATAGGCTCAGGGTAGCTAAAGTCAAAATGAGAGCAGAACCTACATCAAGAGAGAGGAAGGCAGTTCTTCCCGAAACCAGAGGACAAGATACTCTTAGTAGCTAAGGGCTAACTTGGGCACCGAGCTTCCTGGCGGTCAAAGTGAAAGTGGAAAATAGTGGATTTTGTAGATGAAAAGCAGCTTGTTTGGCTATGAGACTGGAAGCCAGCAGTTAAGGGAGGGAAATTCCTTTCCCAGAAAACTGGATGTGGGGCCAGGTCTTCGTTTCTGCCTTATGAGACTGGAGCTTCTTTAGGACACTGTTAGTGATATAATCAGGGTGGATTAGAAGCAGGCCCCAGTGAGCTGATTCCTATGACTCAGAAGCTGGACGCCTCTGCAGGGGTCTCGGGCAGTCTACCCTCTCACCCCAAATGATTCACCATCTCACAGTAATAAAGATAGCACCCACCGAGTGGGCACCAACCACATCAGGAGCTAAGCTAGAAATTCGAGCTGAAATACATGTGTGAAATTTACAAACATTTTCCATTTGAAGAAACCGAGGCCCAGGAAAGCAAAGTGACTTTCGGCCACTGACACACACAGCTTGGATGCATCAGAGTGGGGATTTCCATCCTGATCCGTCGGACCCCAAGGCCCATGCCTCCCTGTGCACCGCGCTGCCCTCCCGAGGGCTGATTAACTCTGCTTGGCTGACGATGACGAGCTTAGCCTCAGAGCTGTCCTATCAGCCCCAGCACTGGACTTGTTTGGAGATGTGGGTTTCCTGACCCCTGCCAGGCTCTGTGCTTGCACCCCCAGCCCCATTTCTCCGAGAGCCCACACCCTCTAGTCCCACCCTTAGCCCACCACCACTTTTTCTGGAAGGCAGGGGGAAATTTTCTGACTTTACAAGGAAGTTCTGGTGCCACTGTATCGCCCGAGTTGGAATGAATGATTTATTTTTTTCTTTCCCAACGCGTTATAAATCTCAGTGGAAGACTAAACACACTCTTGATGGTGTTTATTCTGGCAGACAGGGCTTGGCGGGGGGTGGGGGGGGCAGGGGGGACTTGTTTGAGCATAAGGAAGGAAGGCCTTTTGAAAGGAGATAGGGATCCCAGGCAGGTGGGTGGGAGTGACCTGCTGTGGTCTGCAGGCAGCCCCTCTGTCCTTCCTTCCCCTGCCACCTGCAGCCACTGTTCTCAGAGCAGCGACGCGGAAGTTGGGGACCTTGGCATGGCACGTGACCTGTGGAGCCTTGGGTTCTGCTTCTATAAACTGAGAATAAACCTGCTTCTCCCTGCCCTGCCACCCATGTTGAAGTGAACGCAGGCTGTGGCACTTTTTTTTTTTTTTTTTGGGGGACGGAGTTTTGCTCTTGTTACCCAGGCTGGAGTGCAATGGTGCGATCTCGGCTCACCGCAACCTCCGCCTCCTGGGTTCAGGCAATTCTCCTGCCTCAGCCTCCTGAGTAGCTGGGATTACAGGCACGCGCCACCATGGCTGTGGCACTTTTATAAAAATGCAGAGTGGTGGCCAAGGGCCTCTGCTGTGGAACCACTGCTTTGACATCCTGAGCGTGCTGCTCAGCCTCCCTGTGCTCTGTTGCCTCATTTATCAAACTAGTAATAATGCAGACCCCCGTCCCTTCTCTGCAATTCAGAAATCCAAAGAACAATTCAGAAACCAAAAGTAGCATTTGCAACTCATTTGGTGGCAAAATTGAACCTGGGGAAGCAAGGCTACACCATAGAAGTGTCGCTGGGCAAATAGGAACAGGAGTGATTGCAGGCTGCTGCCCCGGCCCCGCTGGGGGGTGTGACCTATCCCCTCCAGGCCCTTTCTGCGATCTGGTCCTGTCTGCCAGAGCCCGCAGGGGCTTTGGTGGAAGAGCACTGGCATAGGGCAAGGGCATCGTACGGCACCCGGCCCAAGGCGATGTTGCTGGCATCATTACCAGTGCTTATTGCTATTGCCCCCGTTATTCACTTCATGAGGGCCTGGTAAGGGCTCAGTAGATGGCAGCTATTCCTGCTGCCCTCAGCGTCACCAGAGCAAGGGCCGTGGGAACCGGCATTTGGGCATGGCCCAAGATCCCTCCAGCTGTTTCCTCATTTGCATGTTTATCCAGCCTCTGTTTGGTGGGCAGAGCCCAGCTCTGGGATTCAGGGGCCCTGTGTCTTAGTGTGGGCTCTGCCGCTGATTGCTGTGTGGCTTCGGATAAGTTACCCAGCCCCTCTGACCCTCTGATCCACAGGTGAGCTCTTGGGCCATGGCCAGCGCAGGCAGTCAAGGATCCTGACTTGTTCTCTCTAGACAGTGGGGATGGGGGGGTGAGAAGGAAGCGAATGCAGGTTGCCCTTTCCTGTGGTGCGTGGGTGCTGAGCTGGGTGCCCTTGGCCTGCTCTACCTGTGCTAGCCAGGCCCCTGAGGCTCTGAGAACAATCAGACTCAAGCAGAAGACACTGGCACGGAAGGGGCTCACTTGGCATGGCTGGGAGCCAGAGGTGGGGGCCATGACAGTGACAGTGCCTGGCCAGATAGCTCCCCAGAGATGTTGTTCAGGGGAACTGTGACTTCCTTCTTGTTGTCCTCCCTCTCACCCCGAAAGCCCAAATCGCTGGTGGCACATACCCTCATGTGTGACACACAGGTGGTGAGACGGGTTCCTTGTTACTTAGGGACAGTGTGGCTCTCTGTGAGCTGTCTGCCTGCTGGATTAGCACTTCCTGATTCTCTGGCTTGGGGTTCTCTTGTGAGGGGTATGGGGAGGAAGGGCAGCTAGAGCCTGGGATAGGGAGAGGACCTTTCTCTTCCCTGTTGAGAGAATGAGAGAGTCCAGGCTGCCCCTCTGGAAAAGGATTACGGAGAGACATGGTCCAGAATCTCTTAATCACGTGCCAGTCATGGGCCCTGAATTCCGAGGTAGCTAGTTACGTGGTTTGCAGCCAGGCTTGCAGGACAGGTGCAGGTGGTCACAGGCTAAATGCCCTGGCCACCCCCTTTACGGCCAAGGGCCTTCATTTCCTATCAGGGCACTGGGACGAAGCCTCCGAGCTGGTATATCTGGATTCTAGTGAAGCGTTTGGCAGCATCTCCTGTGGGAAACCTGGAGAGGACAGGAAGATGTGGGTCTGATTCGTGCACTTGTACCTCATTATTAGGGGCGATTTGACACCTTAAAGAGCATGGCGAGAGGTCTGCACAGCACCCCCAGGGCTGGGCACAGGAGCCTGGAAAGTTACTCTGAAGATGTAGTCTGGTCTCAAGTAGCTGGATGACATGTGCCCTTCGAGAGAGGGATTTGCTTTGTTCCTGTGGTCCGAGCTAGGGCTTGGGTAGCCAGGAGAAGAGGAGGATGTGAACTAATACAAGTGGGCAGAAGTCATTTGAGCACAACTTTAATTGTATCACGCTACTCGGGAGGCCGAGGCAGGAGGATCACCTGAGGAATGTGGAGGCTGCAGTGAGCTGAGATCATGATGCTGTACTCCGGCCTGGGCAAAAGGCTGGTGGGGCCTCCCCAACTCCATGGAGACATAGAAGTGGTTTTCCCCAAGGAGCAGAACTTCAAGAAGACACTGGGTTTCTACAGGGCAGACAGAAGCAATGAAGTGACCCCTGGTGGGATGGAGGGAGATAATGAATGTCTGCTCCTGCTACGTCTGGCTCTGTCTCAATACTACCTGGTTACCAGGGTGACCTCCCTGCACTCCCAGCACAGGCCTCCACTGGGGTCCCAGGGCATCAGCTCCAAGCTGAACCAGCCCCTGCAGCCATGGTCCCCGGGCCCAGCTGTGTCCTTCAACCACATTCTGGACTGAAAGGTGTTGTGATGTTTCCATGGAAACCACCCATCTAGGTGGAAACCACCCGGCCTCCATCACCTTCTCATTTCAGGGGCCCTGAGAGAGAAACAGGGAAGTCCAGGCTGCTGTGACAGCCGCACTGAGGTCTAAACAGAACCTCGGCACATGTCGTGAGGAAGCTGGGCGGGTGGGGAAGGATGTGGGAGGCATGGCTTTCCGCACAGATGCTTCTGAGGAACCCCTCCTTTCCACACCACAGCGATCAGCCACCCACTGGAGTTGAGAGGTGCAGCCAAGACGTCAGGACAGAGAGACCTCAGATCTGCCGGCAGGCAGCCCAGCTACGTGACTCAGGCAGACCACTTAGCTTTTCCGGCCCTGGTTAAAACTGGGTATGGCCATGTGGTTTAAATGCCAATAAAGCTTAATAGGTTAAAAACCTGGGTTCTGAAATCAGCCAAACCTGGATACAAACCTCAGTTCTTCCACATGTAGCCTGTGTGACCTTGGGCAAGTTAATTAACTTCTCTGGACCTGTTTTCTGCATCTCTATGATGAGGGAATGGGGTGAATACCTAGCCCATAGGTCCGCTGTGAGGATTCAATTGAGATAATACATTTATAATGCTTATCACAGCACCCAGTACACAACAGACATTTGACAAACGCCACTGTTAGTGTTGTGATTACCGACAGGAAAGCTTTGTAAATTGCAGAACCCTGCATACGGGTTTTTTCTTTTAAGTATCATGCTGAGAGCTTTATTGAGAGGAGGGCAGGGAGCATCATGGAGGCTGGTTTCCCAGCTGTCATTTAACCAAGGGAGTTGGGTGAGGAGCCAGGGCTGCAGGATATGGGTCCTCTGAGCACATTGCTCGTTCTAGAACTGCCCGTGGGGAGCTGTAGGAAGCCCAACCCACAGGGTTCCCTGGGAGTCAAGCTCTGAAACCACATCTGGAAGTACTTGTCCTATTTCTCCCAACTCCTCCTCCTCAGGACCTGAGGTGGGAAGGTATGTGGTCTTCTCCTTGGCATCCCTGCCCTCTAGGAGACCTCGCCCTGGGGCTCCCCACTGCCGTGACCAGCCCACCCATCCATGTGCCCCAGAAGGCCTCTGGGCAAGGTCCAAGTGAGCTAGGCAGGGGCTGGCTCTCAGAGGACCCCTCCCACCCTGGCCCGCTTACGGCCGAGGGAGGTCCTGCCCTTAGCTGGCTCTGGGTTTTCCTCCCTTTGCCCAGCTGACTTATTTGGAAACCCCCCTCTCCCTGCTTTGTAAATTAGTGTTTTCTCTGTGGGGTTAGCTGAGAGCAGGTGCTGCTCTCCACCACAAGGAGGGACCCTGAATTCCTGAGCAGGGTAGGAAACAGCATACGTAAGATGTAGATTTGGGCCGGGGTCCATGTGCCTCAGGCCTGTAATCCCAGCACTTTGGGAGGCTGAACCAGGCGCGTCACTTGAGATCAGGAGTTCAAGACCAGCCAGGGCAACATGGTGAGACCCTGTCTCTACTAGAAATACAAAAATTAGCTGGGCGTGGTGACACGCACCTGCAGCCCCAGCTACATGGGAGGCTGAAGTGGGAGGATCGCTTAACCCCAGAAGGCAGAAGTTGCAGTGAGCGGAGATCCTGCCACTGCACTCCAGCCTGGGTGACAGGGAGACCCTGTCTCAAAAAAAAAAAAAAAAAAAAAAAAAAAAGGTGAGATTTTGTGGGGCTCTGGGGCAAGCAGCCAGGTCCCAGAAAGGCAACTGAACTCACACTCTGGCTGGCTGGTGCTGCTGGCCTAGGGCTTGGGAAGGGGTGAGGGAGGATCTTTTCTGTTTTGTTTTTTTGAGATGGAGTCTCACTCTGTCGCCCAGGCTGGAATGCAGTGGTGTGATCTTGGTTCACTGCAACCTCCACCTCCCATGTTGAAGCGAGTCTCCTGACTCAGCCTCCTGAGTAGCTGGGATTACAGGCCTGCATAGAGGGAGGATCTTTTGACCACATAGTTGATGCTGAAGTTCCAGGCCCCCCCAGTCTCAAGGTCCCCTCTAGGTGTCTACCCTGACATCTTGGGGACCCTGCTTGGAGAGGCTGCACTCGGGTCCTTGAAAGAAGGAAACGGAGCTGGGCTCTCCTCCCTGTCCCTCCTTCTCCTTGAAGCTTCCCTGTGGGAGGAATAAGGTTTCACCAAGAAGCTGCATGGGTTTGGCTCTGGTGCCTGGCAGAGCGTGGTGGTTAGGTGGGTGTGCATTCAGCACTCACGCACACCACACGCCTATTCTGCGCTAGGCTTAGTGCCAGCCACAGGGGACCCTGAAGTGAGTGTGCCAGATGTGGTCCCCGCCCCCACGGAGTTGATGTGGTAGCAGAGAGAGATCATAAGCCCTGAAAACCAACAAGCATGTAACATCAGAGCTCTAAAGAAAAATACAGCATGCTTTCCCTCGTGGGATAAGGGATGCCAGGGGAGGGGTGCTTGATTGGTGGGCGGGGAGAGGGGATGGGGAAGGGCTGATATTTTGTAGAGTGGTCTGGGAAGGCCTTTCTGAGGAGGTGACATTGGAACAGAGCCCTGAAGGAAGCAGAGGGTGGGACATGTTAATGACTGGGGGAAGAGCATTCCAGGCAGTGGGAACGGCAGGTGCGAAGGCCCCGAGGCAGGAGTGTGCCTGGCACAGAGACAGCAGGGAAATCCACGCAGTTGAAGCAGAGGAAGCAGAACAGAGAAAGCAAGGTCTGAGGAGCAGAGACAGGTGGCATAGGGTTGTAGTGGGGACGCTGGCGGTCCCACCTGCCATGGTGGTGGGCGGCCCCCGGAGGGTTTTCAGCAGTGACCTGGGAATACTGGTGTTTTCAGGGGCTGGGCTGCTGCTAAGCACAGAAGAGACAGTGGGGCAGGAGTGGCTGGCACTGGGAGCGCCAGGAAAGTGGTTGGGACCATAAGCGTGTCCCAGGCTGGCTGAGGGGAATAGGGGAGGCAGTTGAAGTGACCACAGGTGGGCAGGGGTTTCAGGAAATCTGACCCTGGCCTTTGTCCTCCCCGCTGCAGCTGAAGCAGGAGATGGGTGGCATCGTGACCAAGCTCATTCGAGACTACAACAGCAGCCGTGAGGACAGCCTGCAGGACACCTGGGACTACGTGCAAGCTCAGGTGAGACGGCGGGGCGGCGGGAGGCTCTCTGGCCTGGGCGTTTCTGCATTTGGGGCTCTGTGCACCCGCGTGTCTGGGAGGGGCATCTTCAGTGTGCGTGCCTGACAGTGAGTTTGTAGGGGAATGTGTTTCTATGGGGTCAGGGCACCCCAGTCACTCAGGGGGGGCCCAGAGACTCAGAGGCAGCTTCACAGCTCCATGCTTCCATTTGTGGCCAGAGAAACCAGGGGCAGCTGTCAGCTCTTTTATCTCAAGCTACATTGGGGAGCGTTGGGAGCTCCACCCTGGGTGTTAGGAAACTGGGTGCCAAGGCTGAGATGCTGAGAAGTCCCCGTGGAGGCTGCCTCTGGGAAAGTCACTGGCTGGGGAGGTGCTGAGGGAGCCTTCTAGGGTGAGAGGAGTATTCCAGCCAAATCTTGATACCGGTTTCACCAGGATGTGCACATATGTAAAAATGCTCCAGGCTGAATGTGTGCCCATTAGCTCATGTGTATTACACCTCCATTAAAATGAGATGGACGAACGGACGGACGGACGGACGGACGGATGGACCAACCGACTGACCGACAGATAGACTGACCAGGTTCCCAGCCTGTGTCAATAGTGAAACGATGGCCACCCGGCTCTCCTTTCTTGTGGTTCCAGATGCTGTGTGCACCCTTGGCTGGGACCTGCCATCTCTGTCCCACAGTCCTGTGAGGGCTCAGGACACAGCGGTCACTTAGGGCCTGTTGACACCTCAGGGGAGGGCTGTGGGGTGTAAGGGGCAGGGGCATCAGAAGAAAGCTTGACTCTGGGGCACCAGGAGAGTTTACAGACAGGACACTCCACCTCGAAGACATGAACATGGCCATTTTCTAAGCGGAGGAAGGGGAGAGCCATGTTTTCTGGCTCTGACGGAGGAGATCAGGTGTGGGGGCCGCGGCAGCCGGAAGGCTCAGTGCACGCAGGGAGGTGTTTTGGTCACAGATGTAGTTTGACCACAACTTCTGAGACTGATAATGATAGCAAAGCCTGGATGTCACCAGTGACATAAACCAGTGCCACCTGACAAGGGACACTGGGGTCCCTTGGAGGTGGGGAGCATCCCACCGTGGAAAGTCATTGGCTGGTTCTAGATGATTCCGATGCTGTCATGCTGCTGGGCTGGTGGCAGTGAGACTCCCAGGCCTGGACTGCTACCACTGCCGCCAGACCTTTGCTGAGCCTGCCTCCTCTTCTATACGATGGGGCTACTGCCCAGGCCGTGTGAGATGCCTTGTTAAAGCCTGCAGCACTTAGGCGGCGTGTACTATGTGGTATGTTGGTGGTGGTGGCGAAGTCACTCTGCATATCTGTGGAGACACAGGTGGAGGTGGCGTGTGTTGCTGGGGACCAGGCGCAGCCAGGATCAGGACAGGGGTTGTTTGGAAGGAGGCTCTGCCATAGGTGGGCCAAGGAGACCTGCCTCATTTCACTCTGGTGCAGGATGGCCTGTGGGCTCCCCCAGCCCTGCAGACCTGAGGTGCCAGCCTTTTCTTCGCGAGAGGAGGCAGCCAGGCTGCTGGAATGTATGTCCATAAAACCTGGATTAGGAGCTGCCTGGAACTGAGCGTTCCTGAATGTGCCTGGCACGCCCCCTGCTGGCCACTGGCTGCTGGTCGGGCGACACCCAGGGATTGGAAGGAAGCAGTCAGGAGGTAATCCCTGCCGGGCACTGCGCTGTCTCACTGAATCCTCCTAGGAACTCCAGCGTTGCGGGGGGATTAATGCGCAGAGGCTCCTGGAGCACACGGAGCCCAGAAAGGCTTTCCTTTCTCTAGAACTAGAGCATTTTCTCCTTTAAAATGGCAGAATTGACCCGCCGGGCGCGATGGTTCACATCTGTAATCCCAGCACTTTGGGAGGCAGAGGCTGGCAGATTGCTTGAGGTCAGGAGTTCAAGACCAGCCTGGCTAAAACGGTGAAATCCCATTTCTACTAAAAATACAAAAAATTAGCCGGGCGTGGTGGCGCACGTCTGTAGTCCCAGCTACTCGGGAAGCTGAGGCAGGAGAATTGCTTGAACCCAGGAGGCAGAGATCGCAGTGAGCCGAGATCGCGCCACTGCACTCCAGCCTGGGCAACAGAGCAAGACTCTGTCTTTAAAAAAAAAAAAAAAAAGGCAGAGTTGACTTTTCACTTTTCACTTTTTCTCCTTTTCACCAGGAAGCTCAGAGGCAAATCTCAACTCCTGCACTAAAGTAGAAAGGCCTTGCCTAAGCTTACTGCACTCTCCAGACCTGCGCTGGGTGCTCTGCCTGCCTCATCGCATTTAGTTCTGGTGATAGCCCTGCGAGTTAGGAACATTAATTGTCCCCATTTTACAGACGAGGAAACAGAGTCTAGTCCCTTGAGGGAGGTTGTCAGCTGGCAGGTGGGTGGCAGGGCTGGCGTTTAACCCAGTAGCCTGACTTTAAACCCCATGCTGTGGGCCGTCTGCCGGCCGCTCTCCTTATGCCCTACATACCTGTGATCTTTTCACTTGAACTCCTTCCTACTCTGCTTTGTATTTTTGCTGGTCCTGGTTTTGATGTTTCTACCGTACTTGTAGTTTACGATGGTTCGCCTGGAATCAGGGGCCTGGAAGTGGCACATCTGAGCTCCTGTCCTGGGAAGGCCTCTGCCAGGAGGGCAGCCTGCCTGGGGTGGGCAGTGAGCATGAGCAGTCTGTCCCCTGCCTTGCCCAGGTGAAGTGCTGCGGCTGGGTCAGCTTCTACAACTGGACGGACAACGCTGAGCTCATGGATCGCCCTGAGGTCACCTACCCCTGTTCCTGCGAAGACAAGGGGGGAGAGGACAGCAGCCGCTTAGTGAGGAAGGGCTTCTGCGAGGCCCCTGGCAACACGACCCAGAGCGGCAACCACCCTGAAGACTGGCCTGTGTACCAGGAGGTGTGCTGGGGGTGGGGGAGGGGCTGTGGATCGGGGGCTGGGCTCCGAGGGCATCGGGGGCCATCTGGGCTACTGCTCAGCCCTTCCTTCCTCTGTTTAGTTCCTTCCCTTGATTCCCCTGTCATTTGTACCTTCATCTACTTCTTTGTTAATGTATTCATTCAAGGAACAGGCAGAGCCCTCTTTCGGGGCCTTCCGGGCTGGGACTGGGGACTCTCGGTGGATCTGCGTGATGGGGTGGGATGGTGCGGGGCAGGATGACGTGACCGTGTTCTCGCCTTGCAGGGCTGCATGGAGAAGGTACAGGCCTGGCTGCAGGAGAACCTGGGTGTCATCCTCGGCGTATGCGTGGCCGTGGCCGTCATTGAGGTCTGAGCCCCCTCTCCCCCATTCCGGATCCTCCTGGGCTGTCTCTTTTCTGCTGCTGTCCTCGGGGAGGTGGTGGCCGAGGGGACCAGCACCCCATCAGTTTGCAGAGACCCTCTGGCCTGAGCACTGTCTGGCTGTGTGACCTCAGATGAGCCGCCGCAGCCCTCTGGGCCTCCCTCTGCTGCCTGCATCGCAGGGTGGTTGTGAGGCTCAAGTTGAGAATCCACTTACTCCCCATCTAAACCTGGATGGGGAGGCTGGGGCATCTGCAGCCAGGACAGCCCAGCCTCCCTCTGACTGTCCGCCTCTCCCACAGATCCTGGGGATGCTCCTGTCCATCTGCCTGTGCCGGCATGTCCATTCTGAAGACTACAGCAAGGTCCCCAAGTACTGAGGCGGCTGCTGTCCCCATGTCCCTGCCCGGCCCCCAACCTCAGGGCTCCCAGGGTCTCCCTGGCTTCCTCCTCCAGGCCTGTCTCCCACCTCACTACCAGGGCCCCCTTGCCAGCCTTGACTGAAGAAAGCAGGGGGCTTTCTGGGGCCTGGCATGCTTTCCTGGCCTTTCCGTTGCCAGCCTTGAGCCCTGGCTGTTCTGTGGTTCCTCTGCTCACTGCCCAGCAGGGTTCTCTTAGCAACTCAGAGAAAAACGCTCCCCACAGCATCCCTGGTTCAGGTGGGCTGGTCTTCTGCCTGCCCTCAGGGTGTGTATATTGTATAGGGGCAAATGTATTAAAATTGGGGAGGTGGGCATTAGATAAGGCACCCTGGGCTGCCAGGAGAATGCCTACTGGGTGGGTCAACTTATTTCCCACAATGACATTGGCATCTTTGTTTTTTCACAATTGTATTGAAGGCAGTGGGCGAGGGTGGGCTTGACCTGTTATTAAGGGGTGGTATCCCTTCCTCAGGCCTGACTCAGTCCCATCCAGACAGCTCAGATCAGCCTGTCCCATGCCCTGGGGACAGGGCCTATGGGAGCTGGGCTGGAGGGGCTTTGCCTGGGTAAGGGGATCTAGCTTGGCCCTGAGCTACTTAGGGGCAGGTGAGCCCTTGGGGACATGACACAGAGCTGGCCCTGTATTCTCCAGGGTCCTGAGCTGTCCAAGGGTGGGGAGGAGGAGGATGGCTTCTCCTGGGAGAAGGTGGGCTGGCCTTTCTTGGTAAGCTGTCTTCTGTTCCCGGGGAGGGGGGTGGGGGGGTGGGTGAGGCTGTGCCTTGTAGAGGGGAGTGGGGAGGGGGCTCTGTGTGTCTCATTCTGTAAAATATACTCAAGGTTCTAAGACTATTAAAGAGGATTTATAACGACGTAGCCTGGAATGGTAGGGTTGCTGCTTCCTGGGGCAGGGGAGGACCCAGGGCAGAGGGTGTGAGCAGAGTGGCTGGGTCTGCTGGGGACTGCTGGGCCCTCGCTGCTCTGCGCTTCCCCCTGGGCATCTCACCGCCTCTGCAGTCGGACCCTGAGGACAGTGATGGGCCAGGCTCTACGGGGCCCACCTGCATGCTGGGGTGCTTGGAGTTTAGGAGCCCGCCTGCCTGCTGGGGTGCCTGGAGTTTAGGAGCCTGCCTGCATGCTGGGGTGCCTGGAGTTTAGGAGTCCGCCTGCATGCTGGGATGCCTGGAGTTTAGGAGCCCGCCTGCATGCTGGGGTGCCTGGAGTTTAGGGCCCGCCTGCATGCTGGGGTGCCTGGAGTTTAGGGCCCGCCTGCATGCTGGGGTGCCTGGAGTTTAGGGCCCACCTGCATGCTGGGGTGCCTGGAGTTTGATTTGGTAGTAAGAGAGGTATAGAGCGTACCTCTCACTTCCTGCTTTTGAAACTAGGGTATGGGTTTCCCCAGAAGGTACACAAAAGTGGGCTGGTGATGGGGGGCAGGGAAGCCACAGGGTAAACTTGGCCTCACTTTCTGGAACACCCGTTTTTGCAAAGGTTTGTGGAAGGAAACATTTTCATACTAAAGAAATGTGATGGAGCAAGATATGGAGAATTCAGGGAACTTTTTAAGATGAAATGTGAGACTTTGGGAGGCCAAGGCAGGCGGATCATTTGAGGTCAGGAGTTTGAGACCAACCTGGCCAACATGGTGAAACGCCATCTCTCCTAAAAATACAAAAATTAGCTGGGCGTGGTGGTGCATGCCTGTAATCCCAGCTACTTGGGAGGCTGAGGCAGGAGAATTGCTTGAACCTGAGGGTTGGAGGTTGCAGTGGGCCGAGATTGTGCCACAGCACTCCAGCCTGGGCAACAGAGTGACACTCCGTCTTAAAAGAAATAAAAAAGACGACTGTAACAACTGAGCCCCAGCATACCACTTGCCCAGCGCCATGAAGTCCAGAGGGCACTTGCCCCACCTTCTCTCATTTCTGGAGGAGCAGGTGGGCAGGAGAACTCTTGTCTCCCTGCAGTGGGGCCGGCGGGCAGGGCAGCGGAAGGAGTGATATTTCAGCAGTGACCCCCAGGTGGCGCTGCAGCCTCAGCCTAGGAGCCCGGTGGAGCCCAAAGGTTCCGTGGTTACTCCCCTTCTCTCCAGCCTGGGACCTACCGGCGTCCCACTCCAGTGACGACTTGTGAAAATGCAGATTCCAGGGCTCAACGACTGACACTGCAGATCTGGGATGGAAACAAGGAATTTGCCTATTTGCACCCTTCTGCGTTGATTCCCGAAGATTCTCAGACCTGGGGTAATATCTGTCCCAGGCCATGTGCTGACCTCCCAGCAAATGTTGCAGCTGAGGAGGTGTCAGCAGGGGTCGGCTGTGGGTCCCTCTGTGGCCTTGGTTGCCTCCTTCTGGGACGCAGGGAAGGGGGGGAAGTGTCGATGGTTCCACCTGGCCTGACCTCCCTGGCCCCCCATAGCTTCCACCCTCAGGAAGAGTAGCACCCATTGGGGTGTCTTCATAAATGCTTTCTCACTGGGAGCGAGGGGACCTGAGTCTGAATCCAGCTCCATCTCCATCTTCCTGTGTGACCTGGGGCCTGGCAGGCTGGGGGTGGGCTCAAAACTGTCTCCAAAATAGACAACTGAGAAAACTCAGCAGTTACCGAAGGGGTGGGCAGCTTCCTCTGATACATCCATCCTACCCAGAGCTCACAGCTAGAAGGGGCTGGAGCCAGGATTTGAATCCACATACCTGACTTCAAAGACCATACTCCCAGCCCTACTGCCTCCTGCCCTCCCAGATTTCCCACGGCAGCCCCAGCACGTGTGGTTTGTGAGGCCCTGGCCCTTGGTTTTGTGAAATTTGGTCACTGTGAGCTCCGAGACTGCTGACCTCTTCATTTTGGCCTCCTGGGAAGCACCCAGTTTCAGCTCCCCACTTACCCCCAGCCTGTGAGGTTTTGGGAGGGAGGGAGTGTAGACCCATGTCTAATACCAGAAATGGTCCCTGCAGCCAGCCATCTGTCCCAAGCTCATCTGGGGCTTCCACGCCTTCCAGCTGCCCTCCCTGGGCTCTCTGTGGGCTTCTGACTCTTCTGCTAAAAGCCCTGCCAGGCCCAGAGGACTGGCACATGGGCACCATGTGCAAGAGGATACAAGGGTGCTCCTTGGCAGTGCCCACCCACAGCTCCCTGGGGCAGGCAGGAAGCATGGCTCGGGCAGAGGGCTGCTCTCTGGGCTCCCATAGGAGGTTAGAGACAGTGCCTAGGATGTGTCCAGGAAGCTGGACTTTAGGGGGCACTGACTGGCATGGCCATTGACCAATGGGAATGGAAGTCAGGCCCGAGCTGGACTAGGATCCTCATATATGGAGTGGCGGGAGGTGCAGGGGCTCTGAGAGGTTGGGCTGGGGGGGATTTTCAACTGGCGTAGAAATATTTCACCATTTTATGAATAATAACTAGCATGGCTGGCTGGGTGAGTACAAATGGCAGCCTGGTGTATGTGCACATGCATACAGGCACCCTCTCTCACATGCACACACTTGAGGCCCTGAAGCCCCCTGAAGGCTCAGTCCATTCCCAGCTGGGAGGAACCCTAGCTCTTCTCCCCTGAGACTAAGCTGCAGGTAGCCCGTGGTGAACAGGGAAAGCCAAGTGTCTTCCTGCCTGGCCTTCCCAGGCCAACACTGCAGAGCCCCTCTGCCACTGACCACTGTCCTGTCTCCCAGCAGAGCTGCCTCCAGCCTCCGCCCCGAGGTCTTCCAGGTGAGCAAGTCCCCCAGGCCGAGAGCAGCAGGGTGTAGGGGCACACTGGTGATGCTGGAGGACTAGCCACCAGGCATCTCCTGGGCCAGCACTCCCATCGCCTCCCCTTGCCTGCAGAGGGACAGACACTCAAGTTGCCATGCTGCCTCAGGCCAAATGTCTGGCTGTTCTTTGGGGTCTTTAGAGGCTGTAGACTAAGGTTCGTTCATTCATTCATTCATTCTTTCATCCCATGAATACTTAATGGGCACAGACTATTTGTGAAGCACAGTTGTAGGATCTTAGAAACAGCAGTGAACAAACACAAACCCCCTGCCCACATGGCACCTGCATTCTGTGAGTGTAGGGATGCTCGCACACAACTGATGCACCAGGACACGTGTCCGCACACCAGCACACACGCGCACACCAGCACACACGTGCACACCAGGACACGCGTGCACACACCAGCACACACGCGCACACCAGCACACCCTCCACACGTACAGAGGTACATGCCAGAACCCGCTGCCAACTGCTGACAGCACAATCTAAGCCGCGTGTTGCTGTGGGATCCCTGGGGCCCATCCAAGGCCCTATCCTGTGGAAGGAAGTAAAATGAACAGCACGTGGAACAAACAGGAAAGTGGGGGGAAGGACTCATCGCTCAGCCCTGTCTCCTCTAGCCACAGTGCAGGAATCAGCCATTGCCCGAGCAATCCCCTTCCCAACTGAAATCAAATAGAATCAGAGCAGCTGCTTGCTGGAGGTGACAGGCTGCATGACTTCACCTCTCTTCGTCTCATCTGGAAAGTGGGTGTTCTCATTCCTCACTCCCAGTGCTATCGTGGAAGCCAAATGCGGTCACGTACACAGTGAGCTCATTCCCCAAGTAGCCCATTCCAGGACTGGCCCCAGCTTCAAGTGGGATTTCCCGTCCCCTGGGGATACCTTCCCTGAGCAGGAATGAGGCCCATGGGAGGACTTTGGGCCTTGGTGACTCTGGGGCAGGGATGGCTGATTGGCCCACTGGGCTGGGGCAGGTAAGAGCCTGTGCTCAGCCTCTGGGAAGGTGAGCAAGTAGGAGGGCCATTAGGGGACATTTGAGCTGTGATCTCCGGGCCCACAGCTGCCCCTCTGACATCATTTCCCCAGCACCTGCCTTCTGAGCCCAGGGGAGGTCAGGTCCAGAGCCAAGCCTCTCTTTCCCAGTGACCTCAGATGCCTCAAGCGGTAGCCCCTGGGACAGGAGTGGGCTTCCTGCAGGATGCCGGGGGCAGAGGGGCGGTCGGCAGGAACAGCTGGCAGTGCAGAAGGGCTGTGCGGAGGTGAAGAGTGGAGGGAGAAGGCTGGAGAGTCCCCAGCAGCCTCTTGGGCCACCGCGTGGGTGGGAGGGATGCTGGTGGCAGCTGAAGGAGTGGAGGGCTCCATCCTATGCCCTTGCATCACACACCTGGGTGAGCCCAGCTTGGGGCTTCCAGGATGAGAGGGACCCTGTGATCCCAGCAGCCAGTCCTCTTGGTCCTGGTTCATAGAGGACTCAGGTGCTTGGGGTGGTGTCTGAATTCTTCCCATGGGGAAGCTGTTGAGGAACTCACTTGGTGGGTAGGTAGGGGTCTGGTAAAAATGGGAGGAGAGAGGCCTGTGTTAATCCATTTTCATGCTGCTGATAAAGACATACCCAAAGCTGAGCAGTTTACAAAAGAAAGAGGTTTAAGGGACTCACAGTCCCATGTGGCTGGGGAGGCCTCACAATCATGGAGGAAGGTGAACGGCACGCCTCACATGGTGGCAGACAAGAGAAGAATGAGAGCCAAGCGAAAGGGGTTTCCCTCATAAAACCATCAGATCTGCTGAGACGTATTCACTGCCACGAGAATGGCATGGGAGAAACCGCCCCTTGATTCACTTACCTCCCACTGGGTCCCTCCCACAACATACGGGAATTATGGGAGTACAAGTCAAGATGAGATTTGGGTGGGGACACAGAGCCAAACTATATCAAGGCCCTTCCCCAGAGGGGTAGGCTCTAAACCCAAGGGAGCCCACAGAGGGGAGGAATAGACAGTGGGAGTGAGAACGATGCTATGAGTGGGACCCCAGCTGGGGGAGCTGGGAAGGCGAGCAGGGCTGACCCTTTGGAGTAAGGTGGGACTCACAGCAGGCAAAGAGGCAGCAGGGCAGC